CACACACAAACCCCAACACACACACCCAAGTACACACACACACACAAACCCCAACCCACACACAAATGCAACAAACCCCAACACACACATGGACACAAATCCCAACCCACAGACACACGCACACACACACAAACTCCAACACACAGACCCAAAAACCCCAACACACACACACAAACCCCAACACACACACACACCTACACACACACAAACCACAACATTCACACATGCAACAAACCTCAACACACACACACAACCACACCCCAACACACACACCTATACACACATACAAACTCCAAAACACACACGTACACACACACACAAACCCCAACACACACACAAACCACAACACTCACACACACACACAAACCCCAACACAAACACACATACAAACTCCAACACACACACACATACACACACACACAAACCACAACACTCACACATGCACACAAACCCCAACACACACACCCATACACATACACAAACCCCAACACAAACACACATACAAACCCCAACACACACACACACACACGCACACCCCAACACACACACACACGTACACACACACACACACATGAAACAAACCCCAACACACACACACACAAACCCCAACACACACCTCCCCCAGACTCACCTCTCCCTTCTGAACTTTCTCCACAATGAAGTTGATGAGCTCCGCATGGAAACACGCCTGAAGTTGATCCAGCGTGTCTGAAGACTGGGACAAAACGATGTTGATTTCTCCTGCAAACCCAGACACTGTTTGTTTTAATCAAGAGTTTTGCGGCACTTGTGGCACATATAGGTCGTATTGGTGTCAAAGCTTAGAGGCGTTGCTAAAACGTATCAAATAAGTAAAAGGAGGAGAGACAGGAATGAGAGATATTTCATAGGGCACAAGGAGCATACAAAATCAGAGCACCCACCAACCACCCACCCACTCCCAGATACAGAATCTCAGTTGACACAATGAATTTGTAAAAAGGAAATATGAGTAATTGTAATAATTTTTTCTTTTAAATATAGGTATTTTTTATGCACCCTCTGATGCAATTAGATCATTTAGGAAGTGGGCTTCAACCCTATTTGTCTGGGCAAACCCTGGCCAAGAGAGATACAACATCACTGCGGAATGACCGAGACACTCGATAAAAAATCTGCCTACATGGGAATTGAACGAACTTGGGTCTTCTCTGTGCATTGGTGAAGTGTCTTACTGATACCAGTAAGGAAATATAAAAGAAAAATATAATAAAATAATAATAATACGCTTTGTTATACAGAAGGCTGATGCGATGATGTATAAAAGTTTTCATAATAGAGTCTTTATTTCCTACCTTTTAACATGCTCAGTTTGGTCTGAGTGAAAATAATAATAATATTATAACAAAAATAATAACAACAATAACGGACTGCATTTATAGAGCGCTCTAGTCCCAAACAAATATAAGCTCTGATGGCTATTTGGAGCTGGAAAAGCGTAAGACAGACTAATAGAAACAAAAAAGGAAAGAAAAGTAGGACTTACCAGTGGCCCCCTCCAACTACCCACACTCAGAAACAGAAGCTCGGTTAAGACAAGAAATCGATCGGAGGAAAAAGTAAATATGAAACTTGAAAGTGTTTAAATATAGTAATGTCAATAGAAGGCTTATATATGACTTCATAATCAGTCTAAAAAAAAAAACCAAAAAAAAATTATATATAAATAACTACTAGCTCTTTTGTTTTAGTTTCAGAAAGAGTTTTACGCACTATCAACACAAAGTCATATAAGTGTAAAAGATTAGAGGTATTACAATAGAGTAACAAGCACAAATGAGATGGAGGAGAAATAAGAACAATAGAGGTTTGATAGGAAAGAAGGATCAAACCACACCAGAGCATCCACCAACCACCCACTTACTTCTCTTGAAATCCACTCCAAGAATGTATTCCGTCATGCTCCTCTCATACACGTCTCTCAGAACTGCGAATGATACTCCACTGCGTGGGGAAGACAGAAAGAAAGGAACTAGCAGGTGCTCAATGTTGAATTTTTGGTTATTTTCTAGACTGTTTTTAAGAGGTTTTGTATGTGGATTTGTCATCATGGCCTTAACACGATTAGTTATATATTACTGGAGAGGTTCGAAACATCCTGGGACAACTTCTTTCTACAAGTGTAGGGGAGAAAGAGAGAGAAGAACGGGGGGAGGATGAGAGGGGGTGAGGAGAGGGAGAAAGGGAAAGAAAAAGAGAGGGGGGGGGCAGATAGATGGAGAGAGGGTGAATGTTAGAGAAAAAGAGAGGGAGAGAGAGAGAGGGGGAAAGAGAAAGAGAGAGGTGGTGGGGGGAGGAAGAGAGGGAGGGAAGGAGAGGGAAAAACAGAGACAGAGAAAGAGAGAGATCAGATACAGACGGACAGACACAAAGAGAAAGAGACAGGGGAAACAAATAGTCCATCATCCTAAAGTAAAAGACAAGTAAAGATGAGAAGATCCTACCTCTGTGTGATTTCAGAAAACGAAACACCCAGGTTGATATTCATAGTTCTCCTGATTGCTGAAGAAAGAGAAGAAAAAAATAACGCAACAAATAAATCAACAACACTCAACAAACCACAGAACAAATTCCATTCGCACAGTTTCTCTTCGGCTTGTACTGTCATAAGCTGACAAAACGCCTTTTTTAAAATTCACAGCAGTTTCTAGATAAAAAGGCTTCTTGTCAGTGTAACTGTACAAAAGGCATTCTTCTGAAATTTGAATTCTAATTTATTTTAAAAACTAGTGACAGTTTCACTTTGATTTTTTCACATAAGTAAGGTAACTGATCTGTTGTTTCAATTTCGCAAAAAAAAAATCTGGCGCCAATAAATTTAAAAATGCGGTTTGTCAGCTTACAGCATTGTAGTCTTTATCCTCAATGTCCTGGTCCCTGAAGTCTTAACTCTTTAAACCCCATTGGATGTTGGGAGCGTCCAGTGGTAATAACCCTGCTCCCCATCGAACGCTGGGAGCGTCCAGTACTAGTGACAACTGTTTCGTTTTATTTAGTGCTAGTTTTGGCTTGTCTTTAAAAAAAACTATTCCTGAAACAAGTTTTTTAGTAACGACTAGGCCTTTGTTTCCGCTATATAGAAGTTGGAGGCAAACTTTTGGGGTTATAATGAGACATAGTGCACTAGGTTTAGGTGACTGTAAAAAAAACCTGCGGGAAATGGTAGAAAAAGCTCAAGGCTTAAAGAGTTAAAGGTTGGTCGGCGGGCACATCTATCGATTATATTGCTGTATTATTTATCTTGTTTGTTTTCTTGTTTTCCTTATTCATCATAAATATTCTGCTTGTCAGTACTGCAGTTTTATCCTCATATACATGTACCATATTTTCATTTTTTCCCCATACATTTTGGTGGGTAATGCAAGATTGAAGCTTGAAACCTATTTTTTTAAATTAATGCTGAAAATGCCAGCCTATGCATATTTCAAACTAAATCACTTGAAATCGTCCAAGAAAGCCACCCATAGTTGAGGAGAAAACTGGTTGTCTTAGAGTGGTGAGGGAAGTGGTTGCTTGTTCAGGTGATTGTCTTAGACAGGTGGCAGTTAGAGCAGGCTCCACTGTATACAGGCAGAATAGGCTCAGACGTATGTTCGGATACATAGGGTTAAACGTGGTATTATGCCTTCATAAAGACATATTCACATCAACCAGGCGCTAAAACCACCTGAAAAGAACACAAACGGAGTCCATTCCTTAACACTTATATTTATAGTCGACCAGTCAGCAATACAAAGAAAAACCGCCTGCCAACATTTCAAAGAATAACACTAGGTTCACTTTGATGGTACTTGCAGGTGGCATTTGTAGTCTACTGGTTAGGCTACCTGACTTGTTATCAAAAGATTACAGGTTTCGTGGTTTGAAGCTAATCTCAGTCCGATGTTGTGTCATTGGGACAGACAGTTTGCAAGAATTTTCCCATTTCTCTCGGTACCAACAAAGATGGACGTTAAACTAGAAGGTCTCACCTCTTAAACTCTCAAATAACCTTAAAGAGTTGTAAGGGGCGTTAAAACTTATAATAAAAATAATAGATAGCATTTTTACAGCGCTCTTTCCTGTTTGGAAACAAGGACTGAATGCTGTACGGCTATCATCGTTACCCCGACAGACTGTAGAACACTCAGAAACAGCCCCAACTTCCTAGGAAGCATAAAGTGAAAACTGTACAATTATACCTATATAGTTTTTGCACATTTTTTGTTTTGTTTTTGGTACATACGGAAGATCACAGGCTCTAGTTGGTTGACCGTCTTCACATCCAGCACCTCCTCCTTCTCCAGGTACCACCGCGTGATGAAGTAGAGCCGGGTCTGATTTATGGTCTCCATGCGCACCGCGGCCACAGCCTTGTAGTTGGCGAAAATATGCAGGAACGTGAAGACTACGTACAGCGGCCACACCAAACTGAAACACAACCACATAGAATGTGTTGTTACTTGAACATAAAATAATGTTTAACCTGCGTTTACAACAGGGGTTAGCCAAACCTGTTTCTCTCCGGGAGGTGATCCTTTCCTCGGCGATGGGGCCCCGATACGTTGGAATCTCACACACAACGCAGAAATAAACCGAGGCTCTAACTAGCCTTTTCTCCACCCGAAATCTCAGCAGGCCTCCTCTGCCTTGCTACAGCTCTCCCCTCTAAAATTTTACCTGTAGTAATCCAGACTGCTTTTATAGGCTTGCATCAAACAATACAATTGAACTGAGACTCGCACTTTACTCACTCACTCTCTCTGCTTTACACACTTTCAGCCAAACAATACAATAGGCTAGGCCTAACCCCCCCTGCCACTGACCAACACGCCAGATTGCAAATTAAACAACCAAATAGACCACAGAATGGTAGAATGCCACTGTCTGAGACAACCACCTGCCTAAGACAACCACTCTTCTCCTCCACAATGAATGGCCCGCTGGATAGTTTCAACTACACTTCTCAGCACTGAACACGTGTCTTGGTGGTTCAAATCAAGCATTGACTGAAGTAAAGTATACCCCCCCCTCCAAATTTCGAACGAACTGCTTGTCCTAGTGTGCAACATCTGGGGTCACAGTAAGGTTGTATTATGTCTTACAGTAGGAATAAGAATCAGCAGAGGTGCATAGATATGTGGGGTAGGGGTAGGGGGGGTTATACTTCATTATCCAGAGAAAAAAGGGGAAAAAATATGTGAAAACAGCTGTTTCTGTCGTTTATCAAATACTGATGATAAAAAATAACCCCCGATAGTAATTGTGTTGTTTCAAGACAGGAACAATTGTTTTGTTGGAGTACAAAGAAGCATATTGACAAAATATTACTCATTTAGAGCAGATAAACATTACAAACACATCTAATTTTGCCAGATTTGATTGAACTAATATAAAATAGCAGTATTTGCTTCTCTTTGAAGGAAAACTTTGGTCAACCCCAACTGCGTCAAATGAATCAATTGTAGCAAATGGCAATGTGCAAAGGGTATTCTGAAAAAAAAACAAGCATGCATGCAGTGTGATAGTACAGTCGAACCTGCCTGAACGGAAACCTGTCTTAACGGAATCTCCCCGCTCCCCCCTTGATATATTCCTCTTTAATTACCTGTATAAAACGGAAACCTGTCCAACGCGGAAACGGAAAGAAAAATTCGCTCCCTTCCGAGGGTTTCACCTGTCTAAGACGGAAAATGCTTTGCCCGCTCAGCCCTAATTTGAAACTTTGGTTCTAAACTTAATGCTATGGCCATGCCGCTAGGCGAGGAAGAGGAGTAGGGGTGCAATTTGGGGGTAGATGTTACACCATCAGGTGAGCCCTGAGTAACGCAGATAGTCAGTGTAATGTAGGTGTGAAATCTCACGACTTCCAATGAGAGTGCTCGAGAAGAGAGCCAGCCACGACGAAGTCTTTCCTGGGTAGCCAGAAGCCAGAGGTGTGAAATTAGACTGACCAATACCTGCCACCCTGCTCGTACGGCCAGCCGAGAAAGGAGCTCCTCGAATCATTGTTACATGGCAGTGAGGGATGGCATTGGTTGACTGCACTTGTTACACCGATGGGTGGGGCTGAGGGTGGAATCAAAGGAGATGTTCAAACGTTTCTGTTTTTAATTGGTCAAGCAGAGGTCCTATGAAAGGCAAGCACTGGTGGCAATTGGATAATTAAGACTGACGCATATCAATATCAGACCGGATACCAATTGAGAGGTGTGAAGTTTTGACCACTGCTTGCCGATCAGACAAGCGATCCTTGATCCCACCGGCTGGGCCTTTGAAGCCCCCCCCCTCCCCCATCTCCCTCGAAATTCCCCTGTCTAAGACGGAATTTTTTTCTGGCTCCCTTGAGATTCCGTCTTACAAAGGTTCGACTGTACATAAAAATTTACAGTCTAGCACGTACATAGCGAATACACGCATAGCAAACAGGTTTTCAGGCCCGAAATTTTTTCTTACACATGTATATTCTTTGTATTTAAAACATGTACATAATCATAATGAAATTCGTACATAACAAAAATGGAAAACTTTCCTCTGCCAGAATTGGTCCCATCTGCCACAACAGAAGTCACAAGTGACTTTTAATTCTTCAAATTCTTTCAATTTCACAGGAGAAATATTCTCCTCAGCGGATGTATTGGTCATCATCAAACATTGACGAACATACGAGCTATTACTACACGAGGAAAAGATTTCCACGCCCTGCTGATTTCGCTATATGTGCGTGCTAGACTGCAGTACCACTCCACTCACTACTGCTGGCCGCTGACCAGAGGAACCAGCACCAGATTGCACAGCAAGGCTATCAGGTTGACCAGCGTCTCCTGATAAGAAGAAAATACAAACGAACAAAATCTGAATGAACACTGCAAAAGTTTCTTCTCTTTTTTTCCTCATTTAACCGTATCCGTACGTCGTGTTTAACTATCTATCGTATCCATACGATGTGGGGAACTCTGTGCTACCCCTTTCCAAAGAGAAAATTTACTCGTTAATCCGATCCGTACGCTTTGCATAGCAGTCTGTCAAAATGATTTTTTGAGAAATACAGAAAGTTTCAGAGAGATCTTCAAACTAGAAGTATTCTTAAATGTGAAGAATACAACCCTGGGGGTACAAAATGACCCCAGGGCATATGGTTAAATAAATCCTCGAGTCAGTTTAATGTTATTTTAAATTTAAGCACTTAATGAATCAAAGTCAAAGACAAGCACAACAGCAAATGACAGTTTTTTAGTGCTGCCACTATCACATCTTTCTCCCTCTCTCTCATGGATGTTGTTGTCGAGGTCACTGAGCATCACCATCACATCTCTCTCTCTCTCTCTCTCTTTTTCTTTCCTGATGTGCCAAGATTCAAGAACTTTTTGGATCCCACATAAACGTGCAAGCAGGTAGTCAAAATTTACATATCATAATGTCTAATGCATCTTGCATTACGACTATTTTTATGTAAAGTGCAATATGACATGCAAAAAGAGATAACAATTCAAGTCAATGTACAGAAAGGAGTATATTACAAAATCCAGACAACTTCAGAAATCTTGATTTCAGGATTTATCTGGAACCTCAGCACCCTTGTCTCTCGCATGTGGACATAATCACCAAGCATCGCCATCACATCTATCGATCTCTTTCTCTGTCATTGCTACACACACAGTCACTCTGCCTATGTATATTTTTAGAGACCGAATTTAGAAAACGAAACAAGGCCGTGTGAAAACAAAACCCTCTCAAAGCGAGCCGACACATACCTGGCTACCGTCCTTTGCTGAGACGTCAGCCATATTGTTCCTCCGCGCCTGGTGCTGGGTCAGTGCTGCTCGCGTTGCCCCGCCCGCAACACCCACAATGCTCTGCAAACACAATTCAAGTTGGGAGGGTTTGGTAAATGTTTTACGGCGCTCACAACTGCATAAGATCATATGAGAGCGCGGGACACTTTAATCAGTTTGGCAGGAAAGTGGTGGCTACGGTACTTTAAAAATTACCCCGCCCCCCCAAAAAAAGAAGAATTAAAAAAAAAACACTCTACATATTTACCCTAAAAACGCCAGAGACACAAACTACGAAGGTGAAATAATTTCCGAAAGTTGGGGCCAGGATGTCCAGGAAAAAAGCCAAGTCGTTCAGGAAGTCAGCAAATAACCTGGAAAAGAAACAAAGGAAACTTTAAATTATTCAAATGCAATAGAGGAGCCCAAAATATTGAATTTCACACAGCATAAAAAAAAAAAGAATAAAAAATAAACATATAAGAATGGCACTTGTCATCTAATAACATAGACAATAAGAATATCCAGAATTTGGATGAGAAAAAAAAGCCTCTGAAAAAGACACATGCCCATTCGTGTCACTACCGATTTATCATTGCCACAAACCAATGAAAGAGAGAAGACACGCCAGATTTTGAAAGCAATGGGCTAAAAGTGTCTTCAGGCCAGGCATAAAGTTACGATGATCCAAAAAATGTGATCCCCACAGAAGGTAGAGACCCTGCTGGATGTGAGCACTAGGTCAAGTAAGTTCCTAATGGTTCCTAATGGGGGGGGGGGGGGGGGGGGGGGCATGTTTACTTCTACCTGAAGTATTTTCCCTCCTCTATTCCTACAACCATCCCAAATGAGGATTACTAATACACAATGACAAATACAATGTAAGGAATGAAAATAAAACGAACGTCTCCTTTCCTAAATGCCACCCAGAATAACCCACACTTCTGCCAAAATTTCTTATTCAAAAATCTGTGGAAATATATTTGGACACCTCCCCCCCCCCTCCCCATATTCCTAAAAGTGTCTTCTGTGCATGGCGTCATATTACTCAAATGAAGGCAAACAGAGAGGGGAAATCCCCGATCTATGTACCAGAACTGGGTAAAAAATGTTTCAAATGGCAGGCAGGGTCAAGTTTACTTTTGTTTAAGAATTTCACAATCCTTATACATGTATGAGGAGCCATGGAGAATATTTGTAAAATATTATTAAATTTTCTAGCATTGCAAAACATGACAACTCCATACACCAATAAAAACAAAAATGTTCTTGATTACACATATATTTCCAGACAAAACACAAAATATGACTTACCTCCATCTCTTTGCATCACAATCCAGACCAGTCCTGAAAAAAAAAGCAAAAAAAAAAGCTTATATACATAAATTGCATTTAACACACATTGAGTGTGCAGCAACATTTCATAGGGAAAAATCAAGCTATTCCCATAACTGGAAAAAATCCCAGTCCAAGGGATATGAGAAAATTTGATAATGCCTGAAATATGAATATTGGTGTCCCCACAAACACACATCAAAAGTTGTTTTTTTTTCAATTTCGTAGACTTGTTTGGTAATTGGACCTTACGGTTTTCACAATATAGTAGACACTAGCCATAACTACATTGTATTGTATTTTTTTTAAAAACCTAGTATATATACATCTTGAACAGACCACGAATTTTACCTAAATGGGGCATACATACACTCATGCAACATGGGGTGGAGGACAGGACACTACAAAATGTAGATCATATTCTCTTTCATTTACTGACTATTTTCCAAGTTACCCCTCACAATAAATGTTTTCCAGTTTAATTAAAGAAGGAAAAAAAAATGTAAAAGACGTCTATTATAAACTTCACCCTTTCATCCAAGCAAAAAGTATTCTCCCCATCATGCCAGCACCATCTGTTGAAAAAGAAATAAAACTTGAAAATATTTTAGATTTATAAGAATTGGTCAAAAAGATATTTTGTTCCTTAGACCTCATTTGGGTTGGTCTAGTATAGGTTTAATAGCTGTTAGAACACAGAGTAGAGAAAAGCACATCTGTGAAATAACATTTAGGAAAGGGGAAAGTAAAACATAGACAGAAACAACAAAGGATGATAAAAGAAGTAGGACCTAACAGTGGCACCCCCCAACCACCCCTCTCTTCAGTCTGCCTTAGCTGCAGCCCTATAGGATGGACAGTGGATGGTCCGAACCCAAGTCCTGCTTTGAGTAGCATGTTTAGGTGGGTGGTCACTGGTGTGTGTCCTTGAACAAGACACCTTGGAAAAAACAAAAACAAGCCACTGTACTGTAGCACCTAGCAATGGCATGTTGATTGTCTGCATTGGTGTGAATTTCAATTTTGTGACTATATTCTGATAATTCATGTATGTTAATATATAAAGTGTAAACACACTTTCTCCATGGGTACCAAAAAAAGTGTGGAATTTAATCATTTTTGTCCCATTTCACCACCAACATTACGTTGACAAGCTGAAAGATGACGTACAGATTCAACGTCACTGTTAGCAGCATTTATCTGTAATGGCAGTCTTGTTGTTTGGCTCTTGGACTCTTAGCTGTGAGATCATGGGTTCAAATCCTATGAGGGGCTTTATATTGTGTCCTTAGGCACTTTACATGAATTTTCCTTACTTCACATAGGTAGGAATGGGTACCCAGCTAGAGACAATGAAAGATTTTGTCATTTGATAGTGTTATAGTGTGTGTAATTGGAAAGTCAAGAATGTCTCTGAGTGTTCCACGGTCTGCTTTGGTAGTAATAGTTGTAAAGTAAAGAGCATGGAGCATGCCGTAGTGCATGGATATGGACTATATAAATGCTTTTACCAATATTATTATAATTAATAATTACTGTTATTGTTAAAACTGAAGCAAACCTTTCAGTAACCATGTCATGGTAGCACCCAGCACAGTGGCCGTTTCGTCACCAACACCCACACCTTTGAGAACAGCATAGGCCGCCAGAGTCCCTGTAATGCTACTGGCAAACGCCTGAAAACAAAAACAACAAATTTTAAAAAATCAGGTAGATTGAAGAAAAACTTCCTGATTATCAACAATGGCTAATGGCTTATTTAAATAAATTAAAGATACTTTAAAAGTCAGGGAAACTAAAGACAGTGTACATTAAAATTTGTTAGACCTTGCTTCAAGATTTAGCCATAAAACTCCACCCCCTCCAACCCCTAAATAGGGGGGGGAGGGGGGAAAAGCTGGTAATAGGTAAACCCACCACATAGAAGCAGGAGACGCATGCCCTTTAACTGTGGAATAACAAACACAAATATCTACACTGGATCATACATTTGCGTGCATCACCTTCAGGTTTTCCCCCGTCTTTCTTCTTTACTCATTCATTGGGCCAAGTGCTTGTTTCAAAACAATCTATTTGTGTTTAGTGCGGCATTAAAATAATATAAAAACAAATTAAATCTATTACCCTGCTTTCCGAATGATCAATTTATATCTCTAGCAAGCTCTTCACCCTTTGAGCCCTAGCTACAAGTACACATTGGCGGGTCAAACTGCCTGTATTAGAGTTGGGTGGGTCGCTAATTGAGATCAGTATAGCAGCGCAACGAAGGGCGGGGGGGGGGGGGGGGGGGGGGCAAAGGGGATGGCGGGACAACAAGAGTGGGACTCGCGAAGTGGCGTTAATATGACACTGTCCCATTTCACGCATACAATGAGCCTGAGACTTAGTGTTCCACGAGCGCTCGCGTACGTGTGATTCATTGAAGCCGCCTGAATCGTGAATCGCCACTCTCAGACTAGGCGAGCAGGATCTAGCTTTAGTCTGTATGCCTAGTCTAACCCGGCCCGCCAGGGACAAAATAACCACTGAAAGCATTGTTTAATACACAGGACATTGTTGATTATTTTGAAGATCTATCTGAATTAGATGTACGTAATGAAGAGTACTAACTTGAGTGGAATATGGATTGTGATTCTGACGATCATATGAATAAGTTAGAAAACACATCGCTCAGGATCTCAGGAAGAGGGGCACGGTAGCCTCTGGAGGTCAGGCCTCAAAATGTTTAACTCATACCATCCCTCCAAGTTAAAATACAAGTTTACCTGCACCGTGTCCCATATCTGGTAGGTGAGGTAGTCATCACTAACACTGTCAGGATATCCTTGAGGAAGAAATATGTTCTGAAATAAACAAAATAATTTCGAGGTAACTTTTCCAGGTGAAGGTGTATGTGTGTGCAGCAGAACAGAAAAGTTGAATCTATCGATAGTACCTTCCAATTATCCAATGAAACAGGTCACATTAAAACAACTGAAACAAAAAAAACCCAAGGAGAAACAGATCATAACAGACCACACACTAACCTCTCACTTCCCGACACTGATAGGAACACAAGGAATAGAGCTTAAAACACTAGATGCTCAGGCTGGAAAGCAAGAGCTTAGAAACACACACTTAGAACACACGACACACATCTTTCCTCTAGGCTACTCTCCTGGCTACGAACAGATGACTGTACCTCCCACGACACTCACCAGTAGCAGCAAAAGGGACAAGTAAAAGATAAAGATAAGAACATAACAATGCTTACACTAAACACCTGCTTCACTGAGCTATAGTTCGCAGACTTGTCGACTTTGTGGAGCTTCTGGTCAGTCTCGTCAAGTACAAAGTTGTTCTTCCTCTGCGCAGAGCCGTACTGCTCCTGACATACCAGTCTAGTGTGGTCGTCTCCCTCTGCTTTATTTTCATGAAAATCCATCGCCTATGAAGCCAGTATTGTTGAAAGAAGAAGACATTAATAAAAATTCTTTAGTGACCTTAGCTTAAACAGTTAAAATGGGTAAGGACTGGCAAATTAACTTCAAGAGAAGCTAACCCGATTGAAATAATAATGGTTACTAAGCGCTAGGAAAAGCAAGACAGACAGAAATGAGACATCAGAGAAGAAATAAAACTAAAACTAAGGAAGTAACATATATATTATATGTACAGTGGCACCCTCCAGCAACCTGCCTCATGCCTACATACTACATGTTCATGATATCAAGATGGCTTGGTCTTGGAGCAGGACTCTTGACAAATAATGCCAAATTACAAAACATTTATCGGAGTCTTGCATCCAGCCATTGATACTGAGTAAGCTCATAGATGGTAAAAAAAATACTGCATTTGATCAAAATTCTGCGTAAATTGAAACGATTAAAATGTTATTATAAATATTCATTGTTCATTGTTTCAGGAAGCAACATCCCTCCACTCCGGACATGTCCATTGATGCTCCGTTGCTCTTTCCAAAATGTCGCCGAGGGTCTTTCCACTGATTGTGCCAGAGCATATCTGGTTGAACGTTCTTCTATTCGAACCATGCTGTCAACTGAGGTGGCCTCACAAGCCAATCTGTCAGCTTTTTCATTTCCTCTAACACCTGCATGACCAGGGCAGAAAATCCATGTGAGCGATCGTGTTGCTTCGATAACTTGAATCCATTCTGTTCTCAGGAAACCTTTTTCAATCCTTCTGAGGGTACACATGGATGGAATCAGTGATAATGATAAGAACAGCATGGGTTGTGTGGGGGCGATCTTGGGTCATCCAATCAAGTGCTTTTGTGATGGCTTCAATTTCCATTCGCACACTTGATGTAGCCCGTCTGCAGGCTCCAGATGCACTGTGTATGATTTTATTGTTGGCGAATGCAACAAATCCCCATCCACTTCGCTGGCTATCTCTTTTCACAGAATCATCAGAATAAATAATAAATTACAGGATCCCCTGCATTTGAGTTTGTGTCAACAATCTTGTTGATATCGCTCTCGTTGATGGAAGCCGCAACTTTTCTTCTGTCTCTGCCCATGCTTATTTTGACCTTGGTGAGGTACCTGTGTTCTCCGGCCACCTGTTCCCATTCTTCGCCATGTGGTAGGTTCTCAAGTACACAGATTTTTTTGGAGTGAATCCTCTGTTTCCGCCATCCAAGATTTTCCTCATTTGATTCTGCCTCTCTTTTTGTCATGAAGTGCTTTGTGAAGTGGACGATCCTTCCTGCCCATTACACAGAGATACATCTTTGCTTGTGCTATCCTATGGCACACTCTGATGCCACTTAAACTTAGCAAGTAGCGCAAGCACAATACAGTGGAGTCCCCTTATAACGAGTCCTGAAACAACGAGAAGTCTGTTATAAAGACACTGTTCTAAAGCCCCTTTTATTTCCTTCTTTATCTTTGTAAATAAAATACTGCTATTGCGCAATCAGACCGTCACGAGAGTCGTTTATAACGGAATATTGCTGCTGCTGTGCACAGCGCACAGACCAATTAAACATTGTTATAAAACCTTGCCAGTTGAGAAAGTTGTCGGTGATCCAGCGAAACAAGGAATGGGAGAGCGTACGCGAACCAACAATGAAGGCCGGAGCGAATGAGTGGGGAGGGTGTGGCATGCGCAGACACAAGCAGAACGCATCGCGTGATAGGCCAGCCCAGTCTAGATTATCTAGACATACTGTGCCTCTCACTTCTCTGGTGCAGGATGGAGGGGTCACAATGCTGTGATAGATGGATGCAGTGAATGTATGACGAGCGCGAGCAGACGCAACGCACCAAAGGGGGTGGTGGGGTGGGGGACAACATTGCGGGCAAGTTAGCCTAGAGCCTGAGCCCCTTCTTTCTGATCGCCATGGCCGATTTGTCAACATTGCTAGTGCTAGAGAAAGAAACCTGATTCGACAATTTTTGATCAAGTAAGACCTTGAGATCATGTTGAACAAATCATCATCGGGGGAAATACAAAAAGGAATAAACAGAACGCCAAATCATAGATAGATTAGGCCTACTTTACTATTTCCCTTGAATATATTACTGGATCCCTTGTAACGAGAATTTTGCTATAACGGAAATTTCGCACCGGTCCCCTCCCTCTCGTTATAACAGGATTCCACTGTATTGGAGTGTCCTTGGTGCAGCCCAGCACTGCTCTCATTGCCTCATTCTGCACTCGATCCAGCTTGGCGATCTGTGTGTCGGACAGCATGAGACAGCCTAATCCGTAATCAATGACAGACAGGACGACCCGCTGCAACATCAGGAAGAGGACTCTTTGCAGAATCAGAGCGGCCGCCACGGTCTTGATTGCACCAACACCTCGTTTGGCCTTTGTAACCACATGATTCACATGCTTGTTGAAGGACAACGTCCTGTCGAAGACAATTCCCAGACACTTCAGCTCTAACTGTCTTTCGATAATCTCATAGTTGCAAGTGATTGGTGGAGTAATGTCTTGGACAATATCTGTTGTCGAGGGAACACCAAAGTACCTGTGCCTTTGAAGGATTGATAACTGCTTCATTTTGGTAGCACCATTTTACAACTGAGTGAAGTCTTTTCTCCATGTTCCTTGCCATCTGAAGTCTGTCATCTCGTATGCCATTATGTCATCCGTAAAGCTCAGGACACATCCAGATTCCTTCTGATGCATGCTGCATCATTACCTGTGCAGTGTACACATTGAAAAGCACAGGAGAGAGGGGGGATCCTTGGGGCAGTACTGGAGCAATTGATACCGAATCTGAAGTCCATTCACCCTGTCTCAGGGCCATTTTTCTTTCCACTAAAGCTACAGCTATTCATCTCACCAGCCATATGTTCACATCAAATTCCAGGAGGCGGTCGATCAAACGTTCATAGTCAACTCGGCTGTAAGCATCCTCAAGGTCAAGTGCCGTCACAACTGTTTCCTTCCGCTGCTGAAAGCCTTCATAAATGTCGTATGCCATGACAGTCGCATTCACTGCAGTCTCTCGATGTGGTCTATAGCTGCCAAGCTCATTTGGCAACAGGGACTTCCTCTCTAAGTGTGCTGATATTCGTCCGGAAACTATCTTTTCCAGAATTTTCCTATAGGTGTTCAGCATGGCTATGATCCTGTAACCACTGAGAGCCGAACGGTCTTTTCCTGGTTTGCGGATTGGTATCAACCAGCTGTGCAACCATTCTTCAGGGATTTCATCAGTGCCAATGCTCTTGTTGAAGTCTTTTGTCACTTCTTCAATCATCTCATCATCTGCTTCTTTCACGAGGCAATATCTTACACCATCTGGCCCTCCAGCACTGTCTTTGGCATGTTTTATAATTCTGCAAACCTCTTCTGTAGATATCTCATCCTCGTAGGCTGCATACATGTCTGGTGTCAGCATACTGGAAACATCTCTTTCAACTTCCTTTCTTGAGTCAGTATTTCCCTTGTGTGTTTGATGTATGAATTATAAATGATGTATATATGTATGTATTTATAAGTTACAGCAATAATAATAATATTGAGAGAATTCAAACAGTTGACAGTTACGGTATAATTTAAAATTTTGATTAACTTAGACTAGATCTAATCAACCTCTATCAAATTAATTATACATGTACCAATACCACAGTAAAACTTCATCGCACAATATTTTTAAGTTAAACAAATTACAACAACAGTTACAATGTAACAATGTAACATGGACCTACAAGCAGGACCTCCTAAAAACATTAGGTATAATGTTGAGTAGCTGAGTTGGACTTTCTTAACATTGCTAACATTAGATTTAATCTACAAGAGTAAAAAGACTGACTTTAAGAGTCTTGAGTTAGTTGAGAGAGTGTGTGGACTCACCTTTCCAGAGATCAAAGACAAGGCAGGTCGTGGTGTGCTCAGCCTGTGCTTATAATTGCAGCAGAATTACCTGCACTTTCTCTGCTCAGAGCGCAGTGGAGCAGTCTACGCAAACACAAGATCCAGCTGAGCAGAGCAGCCCACGTTCGTCTGTCGGTAAAGGTTCTGGAGCGCACGGGGCATAGAGCACTCTGACATGCACACAATACACCGTCTTCGATCAACAGTAGAGGTCTACACACTCACGCGCGTCGACAGACAAATGACTATAAATAGACCACCCGGTGTGTATGTGGTAAATCAGCGAGATAGTAATTCTACGTTTTATTTCTTCGTCATGTTTTTGTTTCTTGCCTACTGCTTATTGGCTGGAATAGCTCGTTTAGAAAAGTAACAAAGCTGATTATCATTTCCAGTAGCTTCAGTTTGTTGATTCTATTTGAATAACTGTTTTTATGTTGTTGTTTTTTTAATTAAAAAAAATTTTTTTTTGGTCAAACTGTTAAGCCTAGTGTGAATCTTCCCTGGAAAACAAGTCCAAAGTTTGTCTTGCTATCATTGAACACGAATGACTTTTTAGAAGTGTCATATCCGGTTCAATCATCCAATCGACATCTTCGTTTTAAATTTAGCCAATTGACTAGCTTGTACTGTCTGTGTATTGGTAACGTTGTTGCTAAGGAGCCACACACACAGCGTCCTGATAGAGCTGCATCGTCCTGGCCATCATTTTATCATCTGGGAACCTTTTTCAGAAATCTCAGTAAGAGTAGTTTGATATAAGATTCACATTTCTGACACGGTACAGAATTAATAATGAATTTCATAGTCTTGAGTGTAAAACATTTTGATGTATTGTTTATTTATATTCTGTGGATAGTTTGCTCGTAGTCGTAGCGAGGTGGGCTGATGAACTCGGTCGATCGAGTAAACCCCGATCTAGATCTAGATTTAGATTCTAGATTTCTAGATATCTAATTGCACAATTTAAATGTAGGTTTCATTATCAAGATAGATCCAATGCACCCGTCCGTTCTCTTCCAACTTATACATTTCAAGTCATATAGTTAGCCTCCTGCCTAGCCGAATAATTACACTCCTTTCCACAGCCTGAATTATATTAATATATTTGGATTTTTGAGGAATAACATTAGGCATGTTATTTTTATATTTAGGCTATAGATCTAGATCTAGGTGCCACCAACTTTCTTGATAAATATCAGTGAACAGGGGTACAATCATTTGATGGCACAAAGTGCATAAGCTAAAAAACCATGAGCTTAATTCATGGTTTAAAGAAAATTAAATAGGCCTATATAGCACATTATGTATGGAAATATAAGATTCAGAAAGTGGTACAGCCCTATATACAGCCTGCATATTTAAAAATATATGCATAATTATGTTTTAACCATAGATTTACACTACTAGGCACACATATGCCCCTCTCTCACCTTGCTGCGCGATGACCACTATATTCGACAGCGGCGTCCGCCATGTTCTTTTTGGCGAGCTGTGTGATTTAAGGAGTTCATGCTAAAGCAATTGGCAAGGCATGTTTTCTCTCTCATGCGCAATAGGCGAGGCTTGGCTCATTATGTTGATTTTTTTTTTTACCTTGGATATAAAATTTGTGATTGAAGGAGGTGCAGTGTCGTATCAGAGATAAAATTAGCAAGAAAATGGCTGTTAATGTTTGTTGACTTTAATTCCAAAGCTGAGATTCATTGGAAACTTGAAATTTACATTTTTTTTTGTGCCTTTGGTCAATTTTTGTCTGTAAAATCCATAGAGAAATGCATTTTTAAATGGACATAAAGTGTTGGTCAAAACAAAATAAAATTGAAACAATTTCCCAACGGGTGGAAAGATGCTGATTTCTTCAATTTCATTATTTTGACAAGCGCCTGATTTCATCATGGTATATGATAATGCAAATACGTTATCCTCAGTATATAGAACAAAACAGTTGAAAAAGTTTGGGTCTCCAAATGTTATTTCAATCTGACTATACATTTTGAATCTCCTTACAGACTTTGCAAAAAGTGGTAGAAGCCTTATATTTAAAAACATTTGGTTTTAATTTGTGATTGAGAAATTAAAGAGAGCATTTGGAATTCTGTATGGTAATATCACACAATAAAGACCCTTTGTACACAGATATTTCAACTTTCTGTATTCTATACTTTTACAGCCATGGCTAGGCTTGTCACAGCTCCAACCCGCTTCACTCATGAAGACTGGACGAGGTCAAACCTCACCAAGTATGCAAATGCCGATGTGGAAAGGCAACAGGCAGAGAGGCTCATTGCTGAATCTGACAGGCTGAAGGGAGAAACGGCGAAGAAAACAGAGAAGACTCAAGCTGATGTAGACAAAAAACTTGGTAAGTAATTACTTCTTACAACTTCAACGGTATTTGGGAATGGAAAAGTAAGATTATTCTTCACATAGGACACAATTGCATGATTAGTTTCCTTTGGTTCAATTGTAGCAGGGATCATACTAAGTTGAAACATATTGGCATCCTTACTGTAAGTAATTTCAGCCGAAGTAAAAGCACGCAGTTATTTATATTTGTAGACAATTTTATTTATTGAACTTATAAGTGCCGTAAAACACTCACGAAAACAAAGATTACTTCAAAACAACATTGTATTGTTTTAAAGTAACTTTACACTCCAATTCAACAATTGGCTTCTTTGTAAAAGTTTTTAAAATTTGAAAGGAATACTCTGTTCAGATTGTAAAGGATAGGCAGCTTAACTCTTTGAAACCTGACCTCCTGTGGTTACCATACTCCTCTATCTGAGCTCCTGAGTGATTCTTGCCTATTTTACTCTCACATTTATATTCATCGTCAGAATCACATTCCATATCTCACTCAGGGTAGTAGTCCTCGTGATCACCAGCATCTAATTCAGAAAGATCTTCAATATAATCAATAACATCCTGTGTAGCAAACACTGTTTTCCGTGCACGTTTTGTCCAAGGCACACAGGATTGGGGATATGGCCTTGCTCACTGGTATACCGGTGGCTAGGCATACGGGCAATTTTGCGTGCCACCGTTGTACAGTGGAACTCGGTTTCAACAAACTCATATTCAACGAAAACTTGGATTCAACGAAAGGAGTTGGATTCCCTGATTTTATATTCATAAAATCAATAAAAATAACTCGGATTCAACTAACACATAAATGAGCTAACTTGGATTCAAGGAAGTGGCTTGCAGGGTGGACTGCTCTATGCAATCAATTAGTGGCCTCCTTTTATACCAACACAGGCGTTGTAATCATGCATCCGTGTCTTTGCATGTGAAAGTGTTGGACGGCCGGCCAGCACCCATGTGACTGTGTGTGCCTGTGTCTGGGGGAATAGGGGGAGAGGGTACAAACTGCCTTGGTGTGGAACATCAGTAGAGAAACAAAGGCACAATAGTTATTTTTTCCCCGGCTACTGATCAATATTACAATGATAAGCTAATCTTAACAAAGATCTACGTAATGAATTGCGCGCCGGACTGTGGAATCAAACATTGCCGTATGCTAGGCTCTACTCAGCATGGCAACATAACTTGTTTGGCAAACGATACGTTATACATGATAGATGACACAGGCATACATTTGAACAAATTGGCCCTTTTGCACAGTGTGTGCGTAGTAGAGTTCAGTGTATTTTCCTGGAATTTTCCAGCAATTCTATCAAAGAATCGAAAATGCCTCTCATTTGAAACCAAACTTTTGATTGAGAAAGTTGAATACATTTGAAGGCTAAGCCCGACGACTTCGTTGAATCCGAGCTCCACTGTACTGGTGGCTTGGGCTCAAAGGGTTAAGTTGAGTGTCTGTGTGGAAACTTAAATCTTTTTGTTTTAATTTTTATTTCAGAACAGCGCCTGAATGACATCCGCTACTGGAAGACGGAATTAGATGACAAATTAAAAGGAATAACAAAAGAAATCGAAAATTTGGAAGCCTTCAAACAGAGAGTTGATAAAGCCCTACAGGCAACTGAGGAGCCTTTGCACATTGCTCGGATGTGTCTGGCAAACAGGTAGGATTACCAATAATATGTGTCGTATCTCCACAGAATGTAAAGAGAACTTTTCTTATTTTTTACCCGATATAGGTGTAGAAATCATATATCATACCATGCTCAGCTGCTGGAAATTACACAAGAGTGTCTGTGATTTACCTCTCTTTCTTTCTGTTCTTTGGCTCTGTTCCATTAAGATGTTTAACTCATAAAAGGGTTTTCAGAGAATTGTACAATGAATCAGCTACTAAAGCTTTCTTCTCTTTTCTTAAAATCCCTTCATTGCTAGGATGTATCTATGTTAGAAGCAACAGGATAAGCTGTTCATTCAAGAGCAATTTAAGCAAAGGCATAATATTTTTCCCTTTATTTATAACCAAGCGACCACGACAAGCTGTGGACCACAAATGGATGCATACGTCTAGACAGCATTGAAGAGGTTAAATATGATTATGTTAATGTTGACCTAATTGATGTTTTGAGTACATCTTTGATATATTTACACAATTTTATAATTTGTCCAATGACAGAGAGAAACGTGTTGGAATTGACTTGGTACATGATGATGTACAGAAGGAACTGCTGAAAGAGGTGGAGACAATTGAGGGTGTTCAGAACTTGCTCAGAAGAACATTGGAGCAGGCCACAGAACAACTGAGGTAAGCCGATGATTTGTTTATTTGTTCGTCAGCTGATAAGCTTCAAAATTTTGAAATGTTTATTTATTGTAGCTTCTTAAGTAATCTGTGATATTTATTGCATGTATTTGAGAAATATTTTGTTGAAATTCAAATTCTAATGTTGAAAAAAGGAAAAAGAGATACATAACATTTGGGCATAATTTCTAATTAAGAGAATCTCCTGAAAAGTTTTGCTTTCTGGGCTTAGAACAGTTGAACAGTTTGCCAACAATATTCCTGCTATACTGCACTTGTGAAGAATTTGAGATGGAGATGTAGCACTTAATAAATGCAGTCACATTAAAACAGATAAATATGGAATAATTTGAACTGATACTCCTAATTGCCGGTAGGGTGCAACTGCCAAAAAGATATATATGTGTATCTACGTTAAAATAAGCGAAGTTTTATTTTCCTTTATTACAACAAAGATTCAGTAGGGGAGCTCCTTTAATTGAAGGTGGGTTACTTTCTAGAGGGTTAAAAACAAATAAGAAACCCTGTCAATAAGAACAGGACAATAGGTCCGGTATGATAATCTGTCACTGGTTTGCTTAGAGAAATTCATTTTCATGAAATCCGAAGCATTTTGAGAAGTGGGGTGTGTGGGAGATGGGTGTATTTATAATGGTATTTTATGGGCCTTGACAACAGTACTGTGTAATGGTTTTTACCTTTTGCTAAAAGTAGATGATTGTGATCACAGTTATATAATGATTAAATTTGCTAAAATGGCATTTTACATTCTATTTCAAATTAGAAGTTCATGGCAGGTTGTAACACATACTTGTATGTACCTTTCTTTTATTGACAGGCTGAACCGCAAAGCAAAATACCAGCTGGATAAGGACCTGAAGGACAAGCTTGGAGCTCAAAACATTGATGAATACTGTGAAAACTTGCGAAACAACTCACAGAACATCCACTTCAATGACTCAGCGGCTGTCATAGAACCCAAGTATGTGGAAAAATAAAATTGAAATCGTATATGTTTAACACCCTTTTCAACAGTGTAAATTTATTCAAGAAGCAGGGTCTTTGAATTTAAAGTTTGCTTCTAATATGACTGAGCCAGATTGGTGGAGGGCCTTAAAAACTCCCCAAAACAACCCAGGGTTTAGAATACTCAGTTAGGGATTCAAACCAGGTCCATCCGCTCTGAAGTCCAGCATGATACCAAATGAACTAATGCTGTAGCCAAGTATGTGGGCAGATATCAATGATGTTGTTCAGAAAACGGTTTTAGTATGAATAATAATATTATCCTCTGCCCACTCAGATTAGATCACTTAAGGTAGGAGGCTAGGGCTTTGGCACTGCTTGCCTGTCAGGGCCAGTGAAAGCTGGGTTGAATACAGTCGAACCTGCTCAAAAAGCCACCTGTCAAAGACAATCACCTGAGCATGTAATCACTTCCTTTTTCCCTCCTTCTGTCTTTTTCCTATTATTATGACACTGTCCAAGACACCTGTCTGTCTCAGACAACCACTCTTCTCCTTGATGATGGGAGACGATTTTGACTGTATGTGTTTGCATACAACTACTGCTCAAATATTCACAGTTACATTGCAAGAAAGAGATTAGGAATCTCTATTAAGGAGCTACCATAAAGGTATATTGAATTTTTGATAATGAAATGTAGGAGAGATGAGTCTGTCATTGTTTTGAGAGTAACGAATACAATATTTTCTTGTTTTCTTTTTGCTCAGTGTGGATGGTTGGTGGGTACTCTACTGGGGTTTGCTCATTCTTTTCTATGAGATGTCTATCCTCCTTATCTCTGCTTCTTTTCTTTGTATGACCTAGTTGTGTTGCAAGCACTGTAAAACTCTTACTTAAACTAAACTTTCAGCTCAGTGTCCCCCGAGCAGTGGCAAGATTTTTCCAATGACAACATCAACTATGCAGAGCGGGAGAGAATGAACTCCGTTGACCTTCGATCCAGCATTGACGGTCTTCTTCAACAGACAAGCAATGACATGCGCAAACAGGTGAGTGAATGAAGATTTTATGGGTCTTTTTCATTTTTATTTATTAAAAGTAAAAACTTGCATCCCAGTTTGCAGCTTTTTGTTTAGGGTAATGTGGTGTTGCGATTAGGTGCTTCACTATGGCATGTAGAAGATCTGAGTTTGATTCAAGTTAGGGGAGAAATTCTATCAAATATCTCTGTTTTTCTTCTGAATCATTGCATCCCTTTCAGTCTCAGCACAGGTTAGCGCTGACAAACAGATTCCGATGACAAACAGGATCCAACTAGCCCGCCTCTTTGATGATCTAAATTGTGCTGATGTGTGCCTAAAAAAAATCTACAATCACAATGCCAATATCTTCTTGTGTCTCACTCAGATGTGGGGGAATGGGAAGTGGCTCTTTGTACAGGAGATTGTCTGATATCGCCGGCTGTTACAGCAGGTTTGATTGTATGCTAATGGTGACAATTAATGGAAAAAAAGAGTATTTATTTTATTTTACCTATTTGTTTGTTTTTTCTGTCCTTCAGGAAGACGACACAAACGAGGCGTTTGCCAACCGGATCTGGGAGTGCAAGGATACCAAGGGGAAGCTGGAGGATAACCTCAACAAAGTAAGGAAAACTTTTTTTTTTCAGTTAGTGGTTTTAAAAAAAACAACTAGATTATAACGTTATATTCAAATTGTGGGCCAGTTGTTCCGATGTACTAAGTCCGAAATTTTGAAATTGAAAAAAAATTGAAGTTTCTGAATTTATTGCATCAGTCGCATCATGTACAGTCAAAATTGTTTAAGTCCTCTACCCATTGTTGAGAAGAAAAGGGGCCTTACTAGACAAATGGATGTCTTAGGCAGGACTGCCCAAAATGAAGAAAACGACATTTCCTTTTGAGGTCCCAACTGGAGGTCAAGGTCGAAGGCTTAGGACTGCTGTAAGGCCCATTAAAACGATACAGACAGGTCAACTTGAGTAAACAGTGTGAGGGATCAGAAACATTGCCCTCACAATGTGCTGGTCTGCGAAGGATTGAGGATAACTTCAACTAAAGGGAAGTGGATTATGATGGCTCATCCACAGCGTCGGGGGCCAATAAATTGTTTATGGTAATGAGACGGGCTATGAGAGATTTGCATAGCCATCTTGGACAGGTTTTATGGGCATGGTTGATAAAAAATACATATAGTTGCTGCAGCTACTTAAAGGACAGGTTATCACTCTTTATGCAGTGCCATTTTAATTCTATTTCTAAAATGTGAAACGGGGGTGGAGGGGGGAGTGACTATTTGTACAGGTTGTGTCTTATACAGGTTGTCACTTGGGGCAGATTCAATGGTTTTTGTGAAATATTCAGTCGAAATTTAAATTCTAAATGTTGAAAAAATCAAGAAAAGATACATAGTATAGCTACAGTGTGTGTATAAGAATTGAAAAACAGTTTTCTTCTCTCTCCTGGAAAATTTTGTTTTCTGGGCTTAGGACATCTGAATTCAGAAAAGAAAAATTTTCATTATTTTAATCAACTTAATTTAAATGAAGTAGAGAAGGCAGGCTGTTTAACCCGGTTTGTCAAGAGGCGTAGAATCATGTTTGCAGTAAACAATAAAACCACTCACTGCTCTCTTTTGCTCCAAAGGTTATCGCCCAAATCAAAGAGCAGGAGGAGAATATCGCGACCTTGGAGCTGGCCATCCAGGCGAAGGAGGCGCCGATGAAGGTCGCACAGACCCGTCTCGAGACCCGGCAACACCGCCCCAACGTTGAGCTGTGCCGCGACGCTGTGCAGTACAAACTTATTGAGGAGGTCAACGAGATCAGCGACTCGGTGGCCCAGCTGCAGGCCAGGCTGCGTGACGCCAATAGCTCGCTCAAGGGCCTCGTGCGCAACCAGCTGGAGCTGGAGGAGGACATCGCGGTCAAGGCCAATACGCTGTTCATCGACGAGGTTGAGTGCATGGGCATGCGCAAGAGCATCAACATTCAGAATTTTTAGTCAGTTGGGAATGGAAAGAGGGGGAGGTTATTTTAGGGGATTGATTGCTTAATGAATGACACAATGGTGAGGTATTCAGTTTAGGGTTCAGCTATAAATTTGAGCTACTTTAGAAAGGACTCTCCTGAAGAAATGAACTTAGTTTTTGGGGTTTTTAAAAAAAGATTTTAGTGCAAAATGTTCAATTTGAGAGAAAAATAACAAAACATATTTGTGAAGAAAGTTGGAGTGGTGGCTTTTACTTTATGTAGCAATATTTATATTTTTGAAAAAGTACCTAGAGCAGGTAGACTTATAAAGTGATCTGTCTTTCAGAATATTTTGTGTTAGTGTACAGTAAAAGAAAGACTTTGTGAAACATCAGTGCCTGCATCACAGGCTTGTATTGTTTAATGTGCACTCCAAGCGATAAAGGCTGTTTTTAAAAATTAGAAACTCTCAAGAACATACTTTGTACATTTATACCTCTTTCTTACCATCATCAATAGTTCTGTATTTTATCATGTAATTATTAGATTCTGAAAGCACTCAAATTTGGTTTCTGGTGACATTTACTGTGTTGTCCATTTGACTATATTGTGGGCTTACCTCCCTGAGGTTTTGTTCTTATAAATACACATGATATAACTTTACCCAAATTGCCATGTCCCAAAATCAGTATTCTGTGAGTGGTGAAAATGGTTGATGCTATATAATAAATTCAGGTAATGTATGTAAGAAATATAAGGAAAATACTTATATTATTTCTGCTTCAATGTGGTGGCAAATCTGATGTTGTCAGAAGCCACTAGTTTCCAAAATGTTCACAGAGAATTTGTTTGACAGGAGCACAATTTTGAAGCAAAGTAGAGGTGTTTTGTTAATGTGAAAAAAACTGTTTGTTGACATCTTTTGATATAAACTCATCACCACTTAGTTTGTCTTTGAGAATGATGTATTTATGAGTCTCTTTAATTTGAGAACTTGTTTTCTATTGATCAGCATGTTCTCAGTTATTTCGCTCATCAGATTTTTCTCTGGGTTTTTTTTCTCCAACACGCTTATGAGTCTGTGATAACTTATGAAAATGAAGGCGACGTCATATGACAAAAACTTCTTTTAGTTAATTTTGATTTACCATGACTTGAGGTTTATTCTCACTACCGGTATGGCGCATATTATTACTGAACTGGTCCGTTGCTGCAAAAGTACCTATAAATATTATTTCCCAATACGATGCAAGTAAAGTTGTTTGTTATTTTCTGACATTGTGTAATTGTATTATTAATGAGCTGCATACTTTTTTTTTTGAGCAATGGAAAAACTGCTGAGTGATAGCGCCTCTGTTGTCTCTCTTAGGTTGGCAATAAAATCACGTCTAACAAAACCCTCTGTTCAGCTAGATTCCCTATTTCCTATTATATTGTCTCACTTATCGGGCTCAGTGAACTGATTGTGGTTTTTGTTGAATCAGCACAATAATGGTAGTATCTCTCTATGTAGCAGATTAGAGCATTAGTAACAAAGAAAAAGAGTAGGACAAGACCAGAATATATTTTTTTTGAGAGTAAAGAGAAGCACATTGATATAAAAGTGGCCATGCAGTGGTGAGAAAATGCAAGACAGACAGACAAAAACAGCAGATGGTACGAAAAGAGTAGAACCTAGTGCCCTTCTACCATTCAAAGAAATGCAGTAAAGTGCAGCAACATCAACCCTTCAATCATCATTTTGATCTTTTTGTTTCATAGTAGATATATTGTACACCCGACGGTCATACAAGTGGCGAAGACTAAGGGTGTTATTGCTAGCGAGTAGCCTAAGAAAAACCCAAACAAGCAAACAAAAACACTACAAATAGTAGAGATATAGGTGCGATTGACGTATGACAGGAAAGAAGGAGTAAACCACAACAGAGCACCTTCCAACCACCCACCAACACACATTAGAGGCGTACGTTCAGTGCACAGAGTTGAGTAAAGGTTAGCCGACGGGAGCATTACACTTGCGAACCTTTCAATTTTCAAAACATCACAGTTGCGAACCTATTCAATTCTGAGCTAGATTTAACGTTAAACTTGCGAACCTACAGTGGTTGAGCAAAAGCATTGCATGATTTTTAATTCAGTTGTACTCTTAATACAAGATGGTTGATGATGATGGTGCTCCACTTTTTCAATTGTAATGCCATCCCCCTCTGTGTATACAGGCTTGGGACTTGTATACTGGAGGCCGCATTAGGAATGTTTGTGATTAATTCTATTGTTCACAGTACTGGATAAAACTGTGCACACTCTTTACATGGTAGACTCTTCTTGTTCCAGGGCTATTTACAAGCCAGAGTTTGGCAATGACACAAAGCGTTTAAACACACGCACTCACAGACGCACAAAACTATTCACACAAAGCCCCCCCCCCCCCCCCCCTTCAAAATCACACTCACACAATCTGACGCGCTGACACACACGCACACACACACACACACACACACACACACACACACACACACACACACACACACACACACACACACATCACCCCCCCCCCCTCGCCCCGTGGGTTGGGGGAGTATAAATAAATAAACCCACTGCACGTCTGCAGGGGGTGAAACTCCTCCAATGACGAAGTGTCGCACACGGACTCCAACTCTCTGGGAACCGAGTGCTACATCTACTTTGGTATATCTACCTCTTCCTCTTCCTTCTTTCTTTCTTCTTTTATCTCTTCTTCCACCGTTGGCCTCGTGTGCAACAAAACTAGAGGTCATCCAACCCACAGAGTGGGCGCCCTGTTGACCGTGAGGAGGGACCCGTGCGGAGGGTACCTGGCGGTTGAAGCGAGATCAGTGTGCAGACTGTCCCTTACCAACACACCTCTTTGGCCCAGGTTTTCCTCTTAGACGGGGAGATCTTACACGGCCCATGCCACTCAATCTGTTGGGAGCTGAAACCCCTTCAGTCCCTGGGTTAAACTTGACGGGAGGGTCTTGTACACTCTCGTGAAGAGTATAACTCCGGGTAAGCCTGGCACAGTGTAGGGCCCGGTGGCGGGCGGGGAGCCCCCGAGTCAAATCAATAACAATTCTCACACGGAACCTACACTAATTAAAACCCCTTTCCCAGCTCCCAACGTTAGTAAAAAGTCTCAACTCGCGGAAGCAGGTGCGGCACCGTGCCGAGAATTCCAACCACTACAGGAAAAAAGGGCCTTCACCGCTGCCTCTGGCCTCCCTCCTCCTAGGGAGGGCAGCCATACGTGGCCATCTCCAGTGCAGAAGACGCACTGAAGAAAATCACTCATCTGAATCTCTTCAAAACAGGAGATGCACTAAGACAGGTCTTGGGATGCATCCATACAAACGTAGGCTACAAAAGAACGTCTTCTGGTGCACTCTTTGTCAAGTGCATAATGGAGACAGAAATGACTAAACTTCTGAACACCACGACCTTTGGCAGTATTCCATGTACATCCGCTCGGTACCGGAAATTAAACTGCTCGAAGGGCGCCGTCTGCAGCCTTGAACTGAAGGGCTGCAGAATTGAGGAAATTGTGGCAAATTGCGAGGGTGTGACTCTCGAAACGAACACGATCATTCTCACTTTCGATTCGTGTCGCCCTCCAGCCACCATTCGGGCAACTTACTTTGTCCTTGAGATGCGACGCTATGAGTCGAAACCTCCTCGTGCGCTGCTTCAAGTGCCAGAAGTTTGGCCATAGCCAGTAGCGATGCCGAAACGCAGCCATGTGTCCTTATTGTGGCAAGACCGGGCATCATGAAAGGGAATGCAAGGCTAGTCCTTGTTGCCCCAAATGTCACGGCCTGCACACAGCTTTCAGTAAGGATTGACCGACTTGGATCCATGAATGCGCAATCCAAGAGAACAAAGTGCAAAATGGCTGCTCATTTCAGGAAGCCCGTAAAACTGTCTGCTAGCTAATTGTGACTCCGATCCCTGGCCGGTCATACGCATTTTTGCTGCCAACCCCCCAAAGCCCGGGGTCAACAGGCAAGTTCCTGTACCGAAATCTAAAAAGGTTCTTTCCACCCCTGTGGCACTCACCCTTGAGGTGCCACTCTTTAACCGTTTTGGGGTTCAAGGGGAGGACAGGATGGACTCTTCTTCCTCCACCCCCTCTTTTTCCCATCCCCCCTCATTAATTATCCATTCTTCTTCTTCTTCCTCCTCACACCCCACCCCTCTGATGGAGTGTGACGTGCCACTCACCCCCTTTCCCGGCTCCCATCCCCCTCTTTCCAACCCCCTCCATCTGCTCCACCTCCCCTTACCTCTCCAGCAGACACTCCCCTCCCAATGGAGGATGACACCTCCGCCCCCCCCTCCCCGGCCTGTCCCCAGGAAGGGCGGAGCCCGTCACTCCTCCCCGAAATCTTCCAGTACGTTGCCGCCCAATCCAGATCAGCAGCCAAGAAAACCCTCTGCTTCCCTCGCAAGGAGGAGTCAGAGTGTTTCGAAGCCAGGGCCTTCGAGCTCAAAATCTGAAAAGCCCTCATAATGGCAATTCTGCAATGGGATGCCGACGGACTCCGACCTTCCATTGCAGAATTGCAACATTTACTGGCCACTCTGTGCCCACATGTGGCCTGTATCCAGGAGACAAAGTTCGCCCCAGATTCAACCATAGCTCTAAGAAGTTTTACTGCATATCATCACATTCACACGGAGAACCAAACTGCTCCCGGTGGAACCGCCATCTACACCGACAACAGCACACTTCACACACAAGTACATCTTAGGACGACCCTCCAGGCTATTGCCGTACAGGTCACCCTACACAGACCAATCACGATCTGCTCTGTTTATACCCCACCGAACTAAGCACTCAAAATAACTCAACTAAATGATTTAAAGCTCCAGCTCCCGAAACCCTTTATTTTGCTGGGAGATTTTAACACCCACAGCCAGCTTTGGAGAGATAAACCCACAGACCTCAAAGGAAAAATTATCGAAGATTTCTTATTTCAAAATAACATCTGTCTCTTGAATGATAGGTTCTCCCCTTACAGAAACAGGTCTCGTTTTGGCATTTCATCTCTTGACCTCACCTTTTGTACCAATGACCTGATCCCAGATCTTGAGTGGTCTGAGCCGTTCGACCGTACGGACCATTTCCCAATTTGTCTAAAAGACAATAGCCCCCAAAACGACCCGATTCCGGACCTCTTCAATTTTTAAAAAAGCACACTGGGACGGGTTCGCCACCGACTGTTCCCAGATTTTGAACCCTACTTTCGACCTCAACTACAACAAATTCCACGAAACGCTTCTAGAAATGAGCCACAAATTGATACCAAAACATCTCCAAAACCCCAGAAGAACAAGATCTGGTTGTCTGGGGAGTGTGATGATGCAGTAAAGAAACAGAAGGCAGCATATCGAAGAGCCGTCGATAACAATTCCATAGAAAACAAAATACATTATTTAAAGCTCGAGCTGAGGAACGTAGATGCCTCAGGGAGAGTAAAATACAATCCTTTCGAAAATACACATCCGAAGCAAAACTACAATACCACGTTCCAAAACATCAGAACTAACAGAGAACAACAACACCTAAAATTCCTTTCAAACAACACAGAAACCTACAATGCAGACTTTACACTAGACGAACTAACATCATGCATTTCGGACCTGGGCAATACAGCCCTAGGTCAGGATGACATCCACAACCAGATCATTTGACATTCACCCTCAGAAACACTCACACTCTTACTAGACATAATTATACAGCGACATGTGGCGTTGCACTCCTTTCCCGAGTCTTGGCGACAGGCCACTGTCATTCCATTGCCAAACCAAACAAAGACCGCACACACCCTTCCAACTACAGACCAATCGCACTAACGAGCTGTTTATGCACGTATAGAAAAAAATGATTTACAAGCGACTAATGTGGTCTCTGGAGAAGTCGCTCTCGCTGAGCGGTCTCCTGTGCAGATTCAGGAAAACACGATCCACTCTGGTTCTCCTGGTCCGCCTGGAGACCTTTATACGCGAGATGTTTGCTTTAGGAGGCCTCATGGTTGCCATCTTTTTTTACCTACAAAAAGCCGTCGACACAACCTGGAAGTACGGCATTCTTAGAGATCTGAAGACTCTCGGCCTACTCGGTCACCTCTCTGACTTCATTGAAAATTTCTTAAACGTGTCGGATCCTCCCTTTTAGATCCCCACCAAGAGGAGGAAGGTTTTCCCCAGGGAAGCAAAATTTCTGATCTCCTCTTTGAAAATAAGATAGACTCCGTCGTTGAGACCCTTCAAAATAGCATAGGCAGCTCGTTATACGTTGACAATTTCCTGATATACTGCCGTTCCAAAAATCCTTAACTAGCATCTATGGAAAGGCAGCTGCAAACTTGAAAAATGGGCA